TTGAAGTTGATATTTACCTACATATTACCCACTTTTATAGATTACAATCATTTTTCACATAAACCCGTGACAGCTTTTATGAATCCAAACATCACGCTTAAAGTATTGGCTAAGGCTATAGTCTCGTTATGTAATCATTCCGTTGGGATTTATAATCGATGTACATTTACATTGGTTATTATTATAATATTTACTTGTGAGTTATCTCACACCGTTTATATAGCGAAAATAAGTTTAATTTATAAGTGTAATGAGCTACTCCTTCTTCCATCAATTAGTTTTGGGATACAACCTCACTTGGGCTTCATCTGGAATTTCTCTGCTTATGGTGCGTTACACGTGCGTGGAACCGCACCCGTTTTTCACTCTATTTCTTACAGTTGTCACGGAATAACGATTACAAATCCTATGGGACCGTATCCGTTTTTTCCCTTATTTCTTACACGGAATAACGGTTACAAATCCCAACGAAATGGTTCGGGATTTGTAGCATTTTCCTAAAGTATTATAGACTTCTTTCAACCTTATTTAAACATAAATGTAAAAAACATGTATTGTATAATTTCATACTTTTATTTATGTCATTTTTTAACTATGACAATTCAATTTTAAATGATTCTTTTGAAAAGTATGGCTTCTAACTGTTGAGACATATCTAACAACAGACTTACCCGAGAGATCAACTCACATAATCCAAGTGATTTATTATATGAAACGAAAACAAAGCACATTTGCTCAAAAGTTAAATTAATTTCCACAAGAATTGCAGGGTAGAAGTTCGAATCAAGACACAGCATTGTACCATAATTAATAGAAGTACAGTATATCGATTCCTGCTATAGAAGAGTTATTACTATTTCTGGAGAATAGCCTGACAAGCAATATAAACGAATATAGAAACTACGCTCAAGGAGCCATTTAACTCGGTCGGGTAAAAGAAGAACTCACGAAAATTATGTAAGGCGTATATAACCCATATGTAACCACTAAAAACCCAAAAATTCTCACAGCTCGATTCCTCAGCAAAAAACACGAAAGATTCTGTAATGAATCGTCACATATTTTTCCAGTACATAAACCATGTGAGTGAAGGTTCTGTGCAGACATCATAAGACTTAAGACATACGTGCAAAGATATGAACACATTCGGGTTTTACCTTTGCATATGTCGAAGTCAATATTTGCAGGCCTTTGGTCAGATGACTTTCTACAAAAATTGTACTCGATTTGTAAAGGGACTTGAGCTATTTGCAAACTTTTTACAGCTATTCCCCGGAAAAAATCGATGTTTTTTTGGGGATAATAACAAAACGGAGCATAAATCGAGTTGCTCCCCTGCAGTGTACTTTTTCTTGGTGGATTTTTTCAGGGCCTACCGACAGACGACACCTTCAAAGGAATGTTCGTGCAAAAACGAAGGATCAGGATAGTAAATGGCGTTCTTAGATTGTGGTCGAACAGCTGTTTCGGAATCTAGAAACACCATTGCTTCAAGTCAATAATTAAAGTTTTCGAGAATATATAATTCATAAATAAAACACACACACACACACACACACACACACCTTGTATAAATTCGGAGCTAAAACCATTGGCATTACTCGTGAACTGATCGAGCACGTTTTTTCCTTTGCCATTCTCCGAGAGTGTCGAGATATCGGGCAGGAAAGGCTCCACATACTTTGTTGTTCTTTTACGCTTCTTTTTATCCTTCTTCTCAAGATCTTCAAAAACGTACATCATAAGGGGAAAAGACAAATGTTAGAGACCAAATCTCGATGTGTCATTGTCCAACCGTCGGTGAAAATCAGAAAACGAAATGCAAAATAGCTTTTTTTTTAGGAAAAAAAAAGAACCAACCAGCATCTTCTCCTCTTCCAAAAGCATCCAATTCCATGAGGCAAAGAGCTGCACTAACGACATCCGAGCCGTGCACTCTCACAATGTGCACCTACAAAGATTATAATATCAAAATGAACTATAAATCATAGAGAAAATAATAACAACTCATTCTTCAAATTCATTATCCGTCGTTAAATATTGTTGTAAGGGTTGGTTTAAACAAAGAATATGTTTGGTAAAACTAGCTGATAGCTGAGAAGTGATTTTCGAGCTTATAACTTATGACTTATAGCTGAAAAGCTAGTTTATATGATAAAAGTATTTGGTAAAATTAGCTGATAAGCTAGCTGAAATAAAATTTTCAACGAGCTTATTTGAAAAGCTACCATAGAAGCTTATGAGATAAGTTCGAGCTTTTTAAAGAAGTTCGTCTTACCAAAACAAGCTTATTATACAAGAAGTTTATAAGCTAACCAAATAAGCTATAAACTAGCTATTTGGTTACCAAACATAGCCAAAATAATGTTTTCCCACACTTCACAACCTCGACCAATTCAGTGTTCTACATACATGCAATAGTTAAATTACTCCTCAAAATCTTCATTCTTTTTTTTTTTCTTTTTTCTAATATTTTAAACGTAACGTTTGATTATTCGGGGAGAAAAGAGGATATATACCTGTAATCTACAAGGTGCTGTCAAATGGAAAATGAGTATGTCGCCTTTTAATAGTCTGTGAGCAATAGAGAAGCCTCTCCACCCGGCACTCAAACCATGCCTCTCGAGAAGATACGATGTTTTGTACTCATTTCCCCATTCGTCCACTAAAATTATAGACGTGTCGTGATTCGGCAAATGAAGACTGCAGAATTTTTTCGGTAGATGCTGCCATAAAAATGAGTAATTTTTTTTTAGTTATTATTTTATATCTTTTCAAAAAAAATAAAAATAATGATCAATAACCACAACAATGGAGATTTTTCATTTTAAGCAAGCTCTTTACCAGCCAGAATCCATGAGAGACATTTGAGGGGAGCATACACTTCAAGAAAAACGGGAGTTCGAGCTCGCTTTCTAGACGTGCAAGCACTCTATCCGCACGCTCCATGACCGAAAATTTGGACTCGATATCATCGTATAAGTCAGTTTGTCGGGTCCTCTTTCTTGAGACGCTGTATTTAGAGTTTCTCATAAGATTTATATATATATACAAAGGTGATAATTTTGTTTTCCTATTCTAAGGGATAGTATGCATTACCTTCTTGATTTCTTGGAATTTTTTGTGCACACCTGTTACAAAAGTCAAAAAGATTTTTTTTTTTAAAAAAAAAGTTAAGATTAAATTATTCCTTGTACCATCAGCACAAATCATTAAAGAGAAAAAAAAGTGCCACATTCATCGTCTCGAGAAGAAAAATACAAGGAATAACAAATCATCTAGCTAAGTACAGCTACAAGAAATGACTTTTGAATATGAAATTCATTGTAACACCCAAAGGATGATCTTCACTGCAAGCAACAAACGAAAAATGAACAACGAGAACTAATCCAAAAGATACGTAAACGTTTACTTTTAAGTATATGTGTTATATATAACAAAACAGTTGCAAAACAGTTTCTTAAGCTCAGATCTAACAAAAAACTTTCAGGAAATAGCTTGATTTTACCATTGGCATGCGTTCAACATCTTTAAACACTTATGAACTGAAACAGAACCTTAAGCATAGATCTAACAACAACTTTCAAGAAAATCGCTTGATTTTACCATCAGTGAGTATTAACCATTTAAACACTTTTTTTTTCAAGCGAAAGCCCGTGACGAACAAAGGTAATCAGATCAAACTACAATGAACGTTGATCATTAAAACAAAAAGATTTTGCAAAACATAACATTGAGCCTAGATCTAACACAAATGTAAAAGAAAATCACTTTCATTGTACAATTCGTGTGCGTTCACGTTTAAACGCTTTTTTTATTTTTTTCCTTGACGAACAAAAGTAATCTAATCAGATCAAACTACTACGGACGTTGATCATTAAAACGTAAACATTTTGTAAAACAGAACGTTAAGCCTAGATCTAACAAAAACTTTCAAGAAAATCACTTTCATTGTACCAATTCGTGCGAGCTCACGTTTAAACGCTTTTCAGACGGAAAACCCTTGGAGAACTAATAAAATCAAATCGGAACATCATAAATGCCACCAAATCAAGCCCCCGGCCGAGACAAAATCACTCGGGAGGCAATAACGAATAAATTCCAATCCCGTTTTTCGTAAAGAACTCAGCGTTTCAAAACGCCCGACTTCGAAGCAAACCTAAAGTTCTTTACTCAACCGATCACCCACAAGTCGTTAGACGATAGATTAAACCTTAGATCAAAAGCCACATCAAAATTCCTTTCTTCCCAAAGGCAAAAATAGCCCAAGCATCAAACTACACAAACAAGCTCACGACACAAATTCGACACAAATAACGCGTAAAAACCTCGAACAACAAAAGTAACAAAGTGGGCATGGATCTAAAACACCAAAGAACACTGGAAAATAAGGAAAAAAAAAATAAAAAATAAATAAAATAAAAATAAAAAACCTCACTTGTTTATCCTTGGATTTGACACTTCTAGGCTTTCTTGAAGAACCCTTTTTCGAGCTTTCCAATAGCATTATGCTCTTCTTCTTCCTCTTCTTCCTCTTTTCCTACAAGTAAGAACAAAACCCCCCACAAACATTAGGACGCAGTGAAACAAAAGGGCTCTTTATACCTTCAGACAGGTGGCTAATAAAGAAACATAGTACAAAGTAAAATGTACAAAAACATACCATATACGGACAATCCATGGTGTCTCTATCCTCGGTAGAACAATTTTCAGAGGATGAACTGTTTTGGTTCTCATAAATTTCGTGAAAATTTTCGCTCAGTTTTTTCATGACTTGAAATGAAATACGTCTCTTCTTTTTTCTGTCCTTTTTTTTTATCTGCTTCAAAGTTTTTTTACTGAGCTTAAATACAATTGGAGCAGTTGAGGGCATTGCATTAACATTTCCGGACATTCTACGGTCTCGTTACTGAACTATTCGGTGGTAACCATTAGATCAATTATCCACGATGATTACAAATTCTGACGGAATAATTCTGTAACGAGACTATAGTATTTCTCCAACATTTCAATTATTTTTATTTTTTATATGTTTTTTTCTTTTTTACTTTTTTTTTTTTTTT